GAAACAATGTGTAGGCTGTAAGTAATATTAATTACAAAATATAAATGTAAGAAAAATCTAAAATGTACGAAAAACACTACCCCTTACTTCTACCCGTGTAAAAAATTGCCCACGTTATCAGTTCTTGGGGGGGGGGGGGGTAAATCTACAAAAATTCCCTATCTTCTGATACCAAACTTGTTAATGTACTATTTACTTCCCGGTTCGGTCTATTTCAGGGCTAAATCCACTGGACTAAGGGCAGTGGCTGTGAAAACTTCCTCCTTGAAACGCATAAGGTCACACGTACAAATACAAGCCGGTAGGCTGGTTGGCGATCCGCTCCGCTCAAAAACAAGCACCATGTTTTTGGCTGTTTCCATGGTGTGACATAAACGCGAAGCTAACGTCGGTTTATAACTAATACGAAGTTCGCAAACACCATTCAGTTTTTGGAAGTCACTTATAGTTTATTACAAGGACCACAATCACTCTCCTAGTCGAGTGACTGTTCTAGGACGTATTCTGCTGTTACATTTATTATTTCCAACCGTTTTGCCGTACAGTACAGTGTGTTGACCTTCATAATAATATACTTCATAATGCAAAACATTAGTCACGGTGAGTTATTTAAATATACGACTCCTAATCGAAAAATATGACCACAGTCCAGAATTTCAGACGGATATTAAGAAACCTAAGAGCATATCAAAAGCATTTACTCTAAAATATAAAAAAGAACTGCAGTCAAAAGTCAAGAATGCCAGCAAATAAAGGACTCTGCCCCACAATCCTTTGTGCGCGTTATTATGGACACGCGCAAAAAACTGTACCACGCTTGTCAAATCTGGGTCAAATATACAGTACGCTACTATCTTGCCACAGTGGAGTGTTCGGTGACCATTGAATTAGCCCGTGATTCATATTTTATGTGTAGAATGAGCTATGTTTGAAGTATTTTATCCCAAATTTGTAGGAGCTGAGATACATTTGGCGCGAAGCTATCCAAAAATCAGTTTTTTGGCTGTTGCTATGGCAATGGTGGGCCAAAAAAATTTTCCAGATTTTTCCTTATAACTAGGGTTAAGGTGTGACCTACCTGCCAAGTTTGAACGAAATCGGCCAAGCCAAAAAAATCACAGAAGAAATAATACGTGAAAACACTGGAAATGTACACACACAGACACACACACACAAA